ATGATTTTATTATTGTTACAAGGCCCTTTCTGATGATTTTATTATTGTTACAAGGCCCTTTCTGCTGGTTTTACTATTTCTACATAGTCCCTTCTGCTGGTTTTATTATTGTTACAAAGGCCTTTCTGCTTATTGTATTATTGTTACTATTCCTTTTCCTGGCTAAACAGATACAAAGAAACATAACCTACAACTAGTAAGGCATCACTAGTAATACAACAATAACATAGAAAAACAAACAGTGACTGGTTTAAGTTTAGTTACTCAACTAAACTGAATACACAGAAAGTAAAACTGGGTTAATAGTCATTAAAAAATATTTTTTAAAACTTGAATGCTGGTTATTTTTCAAATGGCTGTATTGATGTATACCACGATAGACTTTTTTCTCCATTACAAAATCTTCATTTGCTATTCAGTGTAAAAACATAGAATCTTTTTTTATGATTAAACAACCTTTCCCAAATTCTTTTTCCCTCTTTTTAAAGTGTTGCTTTTGTTCATTAATTTGAATTTATTTTTAGTTCTTATTCACAATTCTAAGAGACCATAAGGGTAGTATGAGGACCACCCTATTCTTTCTAATTACCTTAAATCACCACCTACACCCAGTCAATCAAGTAAAGCTTTTAAAATTAAAAAAATAAGTATAACTGTGAAGAATAAAAAACATGTTAAACACATGCAAGAGATCAGAACTTACTTGCTGCCATTTGCTAGCTTGTGTAATGCATCTCGTGAGATGACGTGTCCACAAACAAGCCTCATGGGAGGGTTATTTTCCGAGCTTTGCTGTCGTAAGATAGGACAAGCAAAGATGGAATGGAACCTGCCACTCTGGCCAAGATCTATCTCAATCTGGAAAGAAGTAAAACACAGAGTGAGAAGGTAAAAAATGGGTTAATTTTTTATTCATATGACTTGGGTTTGAAAATTTTGTATCAATCAGCTATATGTATTTCAAAATGCTCTGTCAAGTATTTCCTTGCGTGCTGTAAAGATTTTAAAGTTCTAAACTTTCGTATCCACTATTTGACACTTGGTATTAACCAGGCAAACAACCTTCCATTACAATTAAACTTCGATGGATGACAAGAAATATTGCCTATAAACATAGGTTAGGAAAAGTTTGAACCCTTATGACCTCGATTCTTATTATACAGCTCATCTGAGTAATCCTGATGACCTAACTTAAACTACAGATAAAGAACTTATTATACAGATTATCTGAGTAATCCTGATGACCTAACTTAACCTACAGATAAAGAACTTATTATACAGCTCATCTGAGTAATCCTGATGACCTAACTTAGCCTACAGATAAAGAACTTATTATACAGATTATCTGAGTAATCCTGATGACCTAACTTAGCCTACAGATAAAGAACTTATTATACAGGGTGTCTAAGAATGATTATACACATTTTAAAATGCAACAGTTCTCAAATGAAGAATTTTAAAATATGTATTAAAGTACAGTCCTAAAGACCTTTCAGATCTAATCCATCTTGATAGGTTTGACCCAGAACCAAGTTTCAACGATTATACCAAGAAATATACTGAAAAAACTCCAGATTGTATGTTTAATAAATGGTGAAAGTAAAATGACAGCCATGTGTACACGGTATAAACCAGGAGTAGAAAGAGACAAACATGTACTTCACTATATGTTTTTAAAAGCTACCTTACATAATATCTACGATCATTTAGAGACAAGAATAGGTAACTGTCATAAATGAGAGTTTAGGTTTAGAGTACTAACATTAATTGTGGTTTAATGCAATTAAATTTGACCTTAATCATTTCATCATCATCACTAACTAATCGGTATACTTACAGAACATAATAATTAATGAATCTAGACAATGCCCACTGTGAGTTTTTAACTGATACTTCAACACACTTACAGGAAGTTCGTCCCTAGAGCTCCACACATCTGCTACTTGCCTCTGCTGCATAACTTGTCGGATGTTCAGGAGAGCTGGCAGAGCTACACAGCCAGCATTGATGCTACAAGTACAAAAAAAATGGAGAAAAAGTTTGTTTGTTTTTTTCATGAAAACATAATTATTTACTCCATTCTTGATGATCTGTAGTCATCATTATTAATAAGATAATGTTTACCATGTGATGAAATGTAACAATCAAAATAAACTTTGATTACAACTTCTGGGCATATCCTCCACACCCCCTTCATCCATCAAGACAAACTGATTTTGAGTTGTAAGCATATCCTTTTACACGTCTTCTTCATCCATCGAGACAAACAATGAATAAGAATCTAAAGCATATCCTCTTACATGTCTTCCTCATGCATCAAAACAAAATTTAATTACAATTTTTAAGCATATCCCCTTACACCTACCATCAACCAAAACAAATTCTAATTACATCTCTCGAGTATACACTCTTAATTATGCCACAAGGCATAATCCTCGTTTTAAAAGCTAAAACACAAAGTAAGACAATTTCCATGAAATGGCATTATTGGCGCAAGTTATGTTAAAAAATAAAGGCACTTTTACTTAGAATAGATGCAATACAATTAAAAAGTGTAAGTTAATATAGGAAAATACACTAGACGTACATGTATAAATATGTATGGTTCTGACAAATATTAGAAAACAGTTGATAACGTCAGATATAGTCTGATCCGATTCTTCGATGTTTTATTTCGATTATGAAAGTTTACATGTTTGACTATGACACAATTTTTCTTATGTCTGACTCTCAGTCAGTGAGAGACTTTCCTGTAAAAATCTCATTACACCATCAAAAATGTAGAGAAAACTTCAAAATTTAGCATATTTATGTACTGATTAACCTCAGTGACCAAGTTAATCATCATTTCCAAAAACTACCTCTTTAAAGATGACTTACTTTATGTTATCAGATAGGAGTGAAAATGAGATATATTTTACATTAACTTTCTGACACAACACTTACACTTGAAACACAACTCTTTTTTCAACTTCACTATATAAACTTAACTATATAAAGGCTTTTTTAAATAGCCACACCATCACCTAATGCCATTTCTTTTATTATTTATTTTATGTCCGTCAGTCTGTACAAGTATATGCTTGAAAAATACCAAAATACAGCTTAACCCTCTGAGCATGGATAGGTCAAAGTGTGCACGTCACAACTTTGTTGTAGTTTTTTTAGTTACAGAGTTACATTCAAAATTTAATCAAACAACTTTATTATCATTGTATGTCAACAAACACGGTGTAAAAATGTAGTTTATAATTCAAATTTTAATATTATACAAATTTTAATTTTTTGTCAAATAGAAATTTTTAAATAACTTCTCTGTCTTCACTGCTATATATATTTTGTGACATTTCTTTGCTCCGAATCACACATTTTAAATATTTTTTCCCCACTATTTGAGTTTTAATACAAATTACAAAGTTATAGTATAGATATATGAAATATTTAACATCTAACTTTAGTGAAGAATAAACTAGAAAGTAGTATATTCACCAAACTGTAAGAGGACTCTCCACAGACAGTCCTAACATGGTACAGGCATCTTTAGTAAATATTTCACAGATGTCAGACCAGTGAACGGGATCAAGAAGATAGCTGTATGGTGAGTTTTGAACCCCTTGACGAAGGTATAGAAGACTACCCATCAGAACTTGAACTTCTGAAACAAAAATCATTTTTGTTATTATAACCAGCTCATATTTAAATAGTACAATTCCCCATAACTACAAAATGTTCAGACTGTCTTTCTCTGTCAGAAAATTGTGAAATCTTTTGATTCTCATGCATTTTAGAATGTTAAGCAGTTATTCATTAGATAACAATGGACAGAACACGACAGGGGAGTTCAAGGAAACCTTCATTACCAAACAATTACCAAGAACCGATACTTCACCTTTCTCGTGAAAGCTTGCGAGGTGTTGAAAGTTTTCCCGAGCATATTGAACAGCATCTTGCTGTTTTTCGGTGCCTTGTTGTAACAGTTCAATGAAACGAAGTCGGTGAAGTTTAAACTCCAGCGAACTGTGCTGAGCTTGCAACAAGTCTCTATTTCTACACGCCCATCTATAGAGAAGATTAACAATACAAACCTAATAAGTGACTGTAACTAATGATTTTGTAGTTACAAATGTGTCAATGAAGCAAGAAATCAGTTTCTTAATTAGTTAATTTTACTCTTGATTTTTAAGTCTATTAACAGAAACTACAAAATAAATTGTGGTATAGAATATCAAACTGACAAAAATACAAATCAAATTCAAATTAACCATTTATTTTACTGTAACATAATACCAATACAAAATAAACGTACAGCCGATATAGAGTTGTTTATAAGTGCAAAATGTTTAAGAAACATTAAACAAATATATTAAAAGACTCCTTAAAAATAACAAATATATTAGTTCCATTCAAACAATATTTCAATTCAATCACAAATCAAACACATAAACAAACAAAATATTTTTCTATTACAGCCTAAACTTCTTCTGTTATAAAAACTATCTGTGTATAAAAAGTTCAAACATTCTGAATTCCAATTATACATCAAATGTATTGAATAGCAACTACAAAATATTATGCACACAAATAGAGGACAAATTCTTAAATTTCGTCAGAGACAGATTCTTCGTACAAAAAATTCTTATCAAAGATGAAACAAGATATTGATTCAGACAGTGTTATTCTTTTCATCTTTCCCTATTCCACCACTGATACCATTTGCAGGAAAATGTAACTATCTCTTCTGGGCTTGCTGGATGGTATCATTCATGGTGATGCAATTGCTTATTAACAGTCATGTTTCTTTTGTTCTTGTGCCAGACAGTCTACTATAACTATCTCTTCTGGGCTTGCTGGATGGTATCAGTCATGGTGATGCAATTGCTTATTAACAGTCATGTTTCTTTTGTTCACATATCCATTACTTCATCAGACATGTTTCTTTTGTTCACATATCCATTACTTCATCAGTCATGTTTCTTTTGTTCACATCTCCATTACTTCATCATTTATGTTTCTTTTGTTCACATATCCATTACTTTATCAGTCATGTTTCTTTTGTTCACATATCCATTACTTCATCAGTCATGTTTCTTTTGTTCACATCTCCATTACTTCATCACTCATATTTCTTTTGTTCACATCTCAATTACTTTATCAGTCATGTTTCTTTTGTTCACATGTCCATTACTTTATTAGTCATGTTTCTTTTGTTCACATCTCAATTACTTCATCAGTCATGTTTCTTTTGTTCACATCTCCATTACTTCATCAGTCATGTTTCTTTTGTTCACATATCCATTACGTCATCAGTCATGTTTCTTTGTTCACATCTCCATTATTTCATCAGTCATGTTTCTTTTGTTCACATATTCATTACATCATCAGTCATGTTTTTTTGTTCTTCTGCCAGATAGTCTTCTGTTGAATACTAATGCTGCTGATTGGTTATGGTTTCACACTCTTTAGTCTTTTGTTTAACATCCAAGGTTGGAACTAGTAGAATAGCAATTGTATGGCCTGGTAATTAAGGTACACAACTCACAAACTGAGAATTGTGAGTTCAAATCCCCATCGCTAAACATGATTGTCCTACATGGATGCCATCTGGACCAGCCACCTGGGTGTAAAATGCTCGTCCTACTTGGATGCCATCTGGACCAGCCACCTGAGTGTAAAATGCTCGTCCTACTTGGATGCCATCTGGACCAGCCACCTGGGTGTAAAATGCTCGTCCTACTTGGATGCCATCTGGACCAGCCACCTGGGTGTAAAATGCTCGTCCTACATGGATGCCATCGGGGCCAGACACCTGGGTGTAAAAATTCTTGGGTTCCAAAAATTACCACCCAACCCCAAACTAGTTGGGATTAAGGTTATTATATAGAAGAAGTAAGCAAGCATTGGTGTGAAACTACAATTATCAACATCCTTTTAGTGTCCCTTATTATTGGTGTGAAAACTACATTTATCAATGTTCTTTTAGTGTCCCTTATTATTGGTGTGAAAACTACATTTATCAATGTTCTCTTACTGTCCATTATTACTGGTGTGAAAACTACATTTATCAATGTCCTCTTAGTGTCCCTTATTATTGGTGTGAAAACTACATTTATCAATGTCCTTTTAGTGTCCATTATTATTGGTGTGAAAACTACATTTATCAATGTTCTCTTACTGTCCATTATTACTGGTGTGAAAACTAAATTTATCAATGTCTTCTTAGTGTCCCTTATTATTGGTGTGAAAACTACATTTATCAATGTCCTCTTAGTGTCCATTATTACTGGCGTGAAAACTACATTTATCAACGTCCTATCAATGTCCATTATTACTGGTGTGAAAACTACATTTATCAATGTCCTCTTAGTGTCCCTTATTATATTGGGGTGTATTAGCAGTGGACTTATCTGTTCCATGACACCGTTGGCTTTCTAATAAGAGTATTTCTGTCAATCCTTCCATCTTGAGAGAAGATATTACCAAGATACTTAAATTATGTAGCTAGATAGTATACATCATCATAAAACCATTTTGGTTAACTTTCACTTTGATTCAAGTACAACTCTATGATTTCCTTGTAAAATATTATAACTATTCTCAAAATTTTCACACACACACACACAAAAAGGAATTCAATTAATGAAATACATCAAACTTACTACCATAAGGTAAAAATTGACACAGAAACTAAACATTTCTTTCAATGATAAAATTTTAAATGCTCATTTACATAATTATAACAACCAAGTGAATAGCAAGTTTGAAATTCACATAATTTTACTACTGAAAAAAACTGTGTGATAAAAAAATCCCATAATAATAAAGAGTGTAAGAAATAACCTTTATTAACACTAACTTGTAAGTACATTTCACACACTAGTTCTAATGCTTTCACATGCCAGAACATGTAACATCTGGCATTTTGGTGGTTATAATGCAGTTGACTGACACAATTTAACATAATATATGGACAACAAAGGACCAGTGGATATGTAAAAACTGTTCTTGAATACTCTTTATTAAAAAAAAAAGTAATAATTTAAACCCACTCTTTTATTTTTGGGGTATCAATTCCCCCTTTTTAACCTTTGGTAGTATTGGTTTCCACTACTGCTGACAACAACTCATTCTATAGGCCAATCACCCTGTTAGAAACATTAAGGAAGCCTAGCCTGTTTTCCCAAATCTTAAGCTTGTGTCCTTTAAATATATTGTCTTCAGAAAACAGCACATAGAAATCAGAGGCCTTTATCTCATTGATCCCCAGAAAAAGTAAATAAGATCACTTCTTACTCTTCTTTTCTTTAAAAAAAATAAATTAAAAGATTATTCCCATAAGATAATCCTTTCCTCTCATTAATCATCCTGGTAATCCTCATCTAAAGTCTGAGCCCTTTTTTTAATAAGTCAATATCATTCCTTAAATAAGAAAACCAAAACTGTACACAATATTCCAAGTGAGGCCTAACTAGTGATTTATACAGATATTATTACCTCTTTTGACCAGTAATCAGCATGTCTACAAATACACTAAAATTCTATTAGCTTTACTACTAGCAACAAAAATACTGTCTCAATGGCTTGAGTAAATTATCCGTTCTTAAACCAAGGTCCTATCCTCAGTCAAACTATTGTGTTCTCAGCAATATTATGATATTACCTTGCACTTTTATAAATAAATGTCATTTGCCAAATATTAACTTGTTCAAATGACCAATTCATCCAAGTCATTCTGTAGTATTTCAATATCCCCAACTCAGCTAGAAATACCCAAAATTTTGATGTCAGATGTTATTAATTATCCCCTTATCAATAAATGTAAATAAAAAGCAAGGGCTCAATTTTAATTAATAATCTTTATATTCACATCATATTTGAAAGTAAAAGCTTACTCTAATCCAGGCTTCAGATCCTTGTGTTTTAGTGCTTCAAGTATTTGATTTAGTTCAGAGAAAGGCTCCTTCTTCCCTTCTTCCATTTGCAATCCTGCCTCCTACAAGATACACATTTTTTGGTGACCCAACTGACGTTATCTTGGTAATTCATAGTCTACCATTATGAAAACATGACACAAATAAATTAAAAATACATTTTCTCAACTAT